CTGGGGGATTGAACCGCAGTCCCTGTGCTTTAGCTAAGCTTGTTCTAAGTAGGTGCTTTAGACCACTGAGCCATCTCACCAGCCCCAAGAATTTACTTTTTATATCAATAATTCCCAGGTTTTGTTTTTTTAACATTGGTTCTATCACAATAAGAAAAATTTATTTATTTAATCATACTCTGTTACTTGCTCTAAACCCAGCCACTTTATATAGTACACATTGGCATGATAAAAGCTATCTAGTTCGTCTCATGTTTCTTGGTCATTGAACTATTTTTGACTGATCATCCAGTTCCATGTAACATGCTTTTTTTGAAACCACTTGAAAGTTATAGACTCTGAAAGTTGACTATACTCACCCACAAGTCATTGGAAAGTTACTAAGCATTCTACTAGAGGAAGTGTGATTCATATTCCTTGCACAAGTTTCTAAAGTATTCATTTAAGGCCAGGCATAGTGGTACATGCCTATAATCCCAGCACTCAGGAGGCTGAAGTAGGAGGATCACTGTAAGTTTGAGACCAACCTTGCTACAATACTTGAAGGCTACCCTGAATATAGAGTGAGATCCTCTCGATAAACAGGTAATTAGGGGCTGGGGAGATGGCTTTGGGGCTGGGGAGATGGCTCAGTGGATTAAGTGCTTCCCTGGCAAGCGCAAGGGCCTGCGTTCAATCCCTGGTTCCACCCTCACACACACACAAAAAACCAACAACAAATAATTAACTTATATTGAGAGAAGCAAAGTTCAAAGTAGTTAACATATTACATAGATAAAAGCATTTTTGTTCAATTTGTAACTATGAAGTTCTGTATTGCCTTTTAGGGAGAATGGTAGTACAGATTTGAAATAGAAATGTTACAGAGCTTCCTCACAAGGAGATAAACATATAAAGTGTATTACATGTGTATTATTCCCTTTTTTTCCTCTAAATATTTTGTTTTTTGCCTCTTTCTGGATTTTTTTTCTGTTGCTTTCCAGTTAAGACAGATCATTTTGTATTCTGCTACCATGAACAATATAGTTACTTTTCTTTCTTTTTTTTTTGCAGAACTGGGGATTGAACTCAGGCCCTTGCGCTTGCCAGGCAAGCACTTATTTTGAGCTGTCTCCCCAGACCCTTTTCTTAGTTTTTTGATATCACTAAATAATTGATAAACTATAAAATACAGGACATACTATTTTTATTTTGCTTTATTTTATTCTTTTAGTTCTTATGATAGTCAGAAAATTGTCTTGTACAGTTTTGGATATGTGAAATATTTTAGTAAAGTTATGTAATTAATAAAATCTCATATAAATTAGGGACCTAAGAAAAGTCCCTTTATATATGTGTTTGTATTTATTAAATTTTAGTATGTCTTATAGAAGTCTGGTATGGTAAGATGGTGTTCTAGTTCCACTGCTAGATTACTTTAGGAAACATCCTTGTGATTATAATTGAATGTATATGTAATTTATAATTCTTAATTTATAGGAGAATAGGTAAGAACTACCAATAAGATAGCCAGCTGTGGTGGTGCATGCCTATAATACCAGCACTGGGGAGATTGAGGCAGGAGGATCATAGTGGGTTTGAGGCCAGCCTAGACTACCTAGTAAAACACTATCTCAAAAACAATAAAATAGCCGGGCATGGTGGCATTTGCCTGTGATCCCAGCACTTGGGAGGCTGAGCCAGGAGGATCATTGTAAGTTCAAGACCAGCCTGAACTGCATAGGGATCCTGTCTCAAAAAGGAAAAAAAAAAAAAAAAGGTGATATAAAATCTAAAGACTATATTTTCAGGAAAGAAAAATCTACTTTGTAAAAGCCTTCAATAATGAGTAAGAACCAAAAGAAGTATTTAAAGGATTTTTCCCCCCAGTATTTAGGATAGGCTCTACGGGGGTCTTACTACATGGATCAGACTCATAGTGAATTCTTCTGTTTTCAGCTTCCCAGAGCACTGGGATTACAGGTGCACACCACCATGCCCAGTCTCATTTGCCATCTCAGCACTCACGCCAGGGATCAAACCCTGGCCACTGTGCTCTGCCTAAGCAAGTAGTCTGCTGAGCTATCAGACTGGCCCTTATTTAATGGATTTTTAAATGAGTTTATATTAGCCAAGAGAGTCACTGAGAAATGAGCAAACTGCCTATCTCCATGAGATTTGTTATAGAAATGCTTTTCAAAAAATGTCAAGGAATTTAGAGAAAATGCTGTACATTGTGCAGATTGCCACCATATAAGTGGTAGAAGTATGCATTAGATCCTGGGTTCTATCTTTAGTTTAAGGGTGGAGAGTAACAGAAATCGCCCAAAACTGATTAATGGCTTTTTTTTCTCAGCAGTTGGGTATTTTATTTTTATTTATTTATTTATTTTTTGTGGAACCAGGGATTGAACTCAGGCCCTTGCGCTTGCCAGGGAAGCGCTTATTCCACTGAGCCATCTCCCCGGCCCCTTTAAGGATTTTTTTTTTTTTTTTTGCTCTGAATGCCCTCAGGGCAGGTTTGGCTGGCTTGAGTTGTGGGGATCAACCACAGCACCCTGAGCCTGATGGCTTTGTTGAAGCAGCCACTTAAAGAACTGAGCTAAGGGGCAGGCCCCCATCAGCAGTTGGGTTTAAAAAAACTTATTTACCTGTTTTGTCATTTGTGTTTGTGTTTCTATCAATAAACACTTGATGGGGCCAGGGAGATGGCTCAGTAGAATAAGCACATGCCTGGCAAGCGCAAAGGTCTGGGTTCAAATCCCTGGTTCTGCAAAAATAAATAAATAAATAAATAATAAATAAACATTTGATAAACTGGCAGGTCTCATCACATTAAGGGTATTTCTCCCAATAGATCTCTTTCTTTCTTGTAATTGTATACTAAGTGTTATGTATACTAAATGTTTTAATCAGGATTTTAGAAGAGTGATTATTTTAACCCAACCTCATTTTCCTTAGGAGCAAGATCATGGTGTTGGCAGGACAGGAACAGTGAATAGTGTTGGAAGTAATCAATCTATTCCCAGTATGTCTATCAGTGCCAGCAGTCAAAGCAGTAGTGTTAACAGTCTTCCAGATGCCTCAGATGACAAGAGTGAGCTAGACATGATGGAAGGAGACCATACAGTGATGTCCAACAGTTCTGTCATCCATTTAAAACCGGTGAGTATGGCAATTTCTGTGAAGAAATTTTGACTTTATCTGAATAATTTCAAAGAAGGAGGTTTTCTTGGAAGTTGAAATATTTTTTAATGGCAAAGGTCTTATTAACTCATTCAGGGCAAAACTACTTTTAATTTTTAGTCAAAGACAGTGGAGTCAGTCACAAAAAGATTATTTCTACAATTGGTTGCTACTTACTGACTTCCTCTTCAATTGATAAACTGATAAACAAGGAGAAGCACATTCTGTTTACTTGTTTGGTACTGGGAATAAAAACTAGGTCCTTGCACACACTAGGTCATCTCTGTACCACTGAGCAACATCCAAGCCCATTTCTTTAGTTCTTGCAGCCAGTTTTTTATTTCTTACTTTGGACAGATAGCAAAAATATTGTATTGTAAAGATAGTTTTAAGCTATAGTTCTTCTAAAACCTAAAAGCTCTTGAGTAGTTTTTACTAGTATTATTTAAAATATTGGGGAGCTAGGGAGATAGCTGAGTGGCATATATACCTGCCTGGCAAGCATAAGTTCAATCCCCAGTACCACAATAAATAAATAAATAAATAAATATATAAAATAAAATAGTGGGTATATGTCTCTGTCTCTCTCTCTCTCTCTCTCTCTCTCTCTCTCTCTCTCTCTCTCTCTCTGTCTCTCCCTCTCTCTTGTGCATTCCCACCCTTTTCTTGATGAACTTGAGATCCCATTTGTCCTCGAAGACCTTGAGCAGGTCTATGGCATGCCGCTGTTTGTATGGGGCAAAGCCGCACATCTCCTGGATCATGTTCTGCATGAAGTAGGTGTGTTTGAGGCATCCACGACATGAACTGTGCCTTGGTTTGCTCACATTCTTCACCTGTGGTCCTTGTTGAGGCCCACGCCCAGGGATAGCTCAGAGCCCTGGCTACTGTTGTTCAGTGGTTGTGGGTCTCTTTATTTTTAAATTATATCAAAACTTTCCTGTTTTGCATGTAATATGTAGGGTGTAAATCTAGCCATATACATTTCCTTATCCTGAGTGTATATTATTTCATACACAGTGGGAATAATTTCTCATAAGTCTGAGTATGTTGAAAATAAAACAGTGACGTTTCCCCCTTATTGTTTTTCTTTTTAAGTTATGCACATGAGATTTATTGAACAAATTATCTTAGGCACCTTATGTGTTTTTTCTTGTTTCTTTTTGGCTTAGGAGGAGGAAAATTACAGAGAGGAAGGAGACTCTAGAACAAGAGCTTCAGATCCACAGTCTCCACCCCAAGTGTCTCGTCACAAATCACACTATCGTAACAGAGAACATTTTGCAACTATAAGGACAGCATCACTGGTATGTGTTCTGGTCCTAGGGAGAAATGTTTTTCATGTTGAACCTAGCAGTTTATATGATTTTTTTTTTTTTTTTTTTTTT